GATACAGCTCTAAAGATGAATCGGTTTACTGATAGATGTTCTGTTTAGAAATTGGTCACAGCAACCTGGTTTGCATGTGCAACGAAGTTAGGCGAAATGGGTCACAATACTTATAAAAGTATGTGCCAAATTAGGTTGTGTTCCACGGNTCCACGGATGCAGCTTCGAGGCTGGATCCGTGTACTGGTATGAAATTGGTTGAGAAAGTGGACACTGCTACCTGGTTAGCATGTGCCACGGGGTTGAGCCTATTGAGTCGGATGAAAACGGAATCGGATATATATAAAGTAAGGCGAGATGGGTCACAATACTTATAGAAGTATGTACCGTTTACTGATATGAAATTGGTTGTTTCTCAACGGGTGCAGAAGAGTGTCGGAAGATTGGTGGATGTTGAGCATGCCACAGATTTGGTGGTGTAATTTGTGGGCGGCTCAAGAGATAGGGAGGAAGAAGGTTCTGGCTCGGATATTTCATGGAGGAACTATTGGTGATGCTGGGTCCTATGTGTGGGAAGAAGGTAGCAGGAGTTGGGTTTGGTGCAAAGCTAAGATGGTAGGATAGGCCATATATATTTGCAGCTAACATAGAGGAATGAGGTGTCGGGGTAAATGGTCGATGTGTTTTAGGTGGGGGTTTGTTCTGTTTTGGCTCAGGCGAGTACGCCAGGGTAAGGGCTCGGTCCATTGGCGGTGACCTTACACAGGTTTTGTGAGAGGCTGGGCAAGGTAGGTTGTTGTGGGTGAAAAGGGGATTCTACGGGGTACAGTTTGGTTGAGGTCAGGTTCATCTCCCCGGCAAGGCCGCAAGATTTTATGGTGTATTGTGCAGCAGAGATCCATTTATACTTAAAGGCTTTTGAGGGATTGAAATAGGGTTTTGGAGTGGTAAGGTAGTCATGATTGATAAATTCCTCATTTGGGGTCGAGGAATGTCCTCCCGTAAGGAGGGCGGTATTACCGGCTGAGTCGTACAGACAGTTGTTTCGGGGCTCAGGCGTGAAAGGTTTGGGCGCTTTGGTGGTGCAGGTTTGGATGAACTCAAACAAGATGTATCGAGGTCTACATTTGGAGTCTGAGGCCTACGGGGGGTGCCTGTGGGCTAGCTCTTGGGGAATTAGAAGTGGATGAAACAGGGGTCTGTGCGGCTACTGCTTTATTATAGTCATTTTCCGTATAGCTCTTTGGAGAGAAGTATTATCAGGGTAGACCTTTATGTTTTTGAACGAAGTATTTTTCGCAATCTCGTTTCGTTTTGCTATAAACGCCTTTGTCAAGATGTCATTTGGAAATTGGAAAAGAAGTTGGCACGAGTACCGCTGGGATCTTTTCCGGAGTCCAATGCAGTTGCATGGGTACCTGTCTATGTTTGAGGCTTTCATGATAGTGC